TTACTGTGTAGAGTGATCAGATGCATTTTAAATAATTGCTAAAAGCTTCATTGGCCAAAAAAATGAACATTTCACAAAAAAAAAAAAATATCACTGTTTTTTGATCCTGACACAAAATGACCAGCTAACATTGATTGACTAATCATATCAGCAACACATGTGAAAATGTGAATGAGTACTAGTCAGGTGAAATCACTATCATACTAATTAGATTGTAAAAGCAGACTGATTGCTATAAAAGGAGGGAAGAAGCGCTTCCAATCATTGTGTTCTTGTTAGCAATGGTTACCTCTGAAGAAACACGTGCAGCCATCGCTTTCCATCAAAATGGCCTCACATGCAAGGAAATTGCTACAAAGAATATTGAACCTGAAAGAACCATTTACCGGATCATCAAGAACTTCAAGGAGAGAGGTTCGACTGCAGTGAAGAAGTCTTCAGGACGTCCCAGAGTGTCCAGCAAGCGCCAGGACCGTCTCCACCTGAGGAGTCAGCTACAGAATCGTGTCGCCACCAGTGCAGAGCTTGCTCAGGAATGGCAGCAGGTTGGTGTGAGAGCATCTGCAGCACAGTGAGGCCAAGACTTTTGGACAACGGCCTGGTGTCAAGAAGGGCAGCAAAGAAGCCACTTCTCTCCAAGAAAAACGTCACGGACAGACTGAAATTCTGCAGGAAGTGCAAGGATTGGATAGCAGAAGACTGGTGCAAAGTTATTTTCTCTGATGAAGCTCCCTTCTGACTGTTTGGGACATCTGGAAAATTGATTGTTCAGAGAAAAAAAGGTGAATGCTACCATGAGTCCTGTGACGTGCCAACAGTGAAGCATACTGAGACCATCCATGCGTGGGGTTGCTTTTCAACCAAGGGAGTGGGTTCTCTCATAATTCTGCCCAAAGGCACTGCCATGAATAAAGAATGGTATCAAATCGTCCTGCAAGAGCGACTACTTCCAACGATCCATGAGCAATTTGTTGATGATTCGTGCATTTTCCAGCATGATGGAGCACCATGTCACAAAGCAAGAGTGATAAAGAAGTGGCTCGAAGATCATTACATTGAAATTTTGGATCCGTGGCCAGGCAGCTTCCTGGATCTCGATCCCATAGAGAACCTGTGGTCAGTCCTCAAAAGGCGAGTGGACAAGCAGAAGCCCGCAAATTGTGATCACCTCCGAGAACTAATAAGGCATATAGAACTAATAGATCGCCATCATTCAGGATTTGGCCCAGAAGCTAATATCCAGCATGCCAGAGCGAATTGCAGAGGTTATGAAGAACAAGAGTCAACACTCTAAATATGCTGACTCACAGCCCGTAAGTACGTTTTCATTTTTAAAGGATTTGCCACTGACGATTCAAACGCGAGTTTTGAGCAGTGTAGAGTAGCGCTTGTTGTTTGTCGTTTCTCCGATCACAAATGCAGACATGGTTTTATGTTTACGCGGCACGGCGAGATGCAACACGTAAAAAAAAGACAGTATAAGTAATTATAATCAGTAATTATGTCCCCACTGGATGCAACAAATGCCTCGTTTATAATGGGTTTTATTGGTTTTGTCTCATCGCGCCGGGACACGGCATCACAGTATGGTAAGGGGCGTAACATTTCCGTCACACGCTTGAGGAATTCGGCCAATCACAACGCACTAGATAGCTGGCCAATCAGAGCACACCTCGCTTTTCAGAACGATGAGCTTTGTAAAAATCGACGTGTTTCAGAAAGGCGGGGCATAGAGGAGAAACAATAATGTAGAGTATTGGAAAAATAATGTTTTTTTTTTTACCTTAAACCGCATAAACACATTTCATTACACCAAATACACAAAATAATGTTCTTTTTTAGCAACGTCATATGACCCCTTTAAAATGAAAACCTTCCCCAAATTGATTACATATGTTGAATATGTCCAAGCAAAAACTGTAGCAAAATTATCATTTAAATGCTGTTTTTCCTAAATACATTTAGACTTACGGGTAGGACACTTGGGATTGCATTTCCATCATAATACCATGTGATAATTGTAGCATAATGCAGTGTGAATTTCGAAAATGCATTCTGAACCAATGGTAGGCTATAGCAAAAGAGTAGCAAAATGGTGATTTTAAATGTCTTTTAGTTTTCTTAAATGCATTGACACTTAAACTTAAGACATTTAAATTACATTTTCATTAAATACCCCGTGATGAATGTAGTTTAAGTCAATGTGGATTTGAAAATGCATTCCGAGCCGCCAACCTGTCAATCATTACATCAAGGCAGGGTTCGGCAACAGTATTCACCATTAACCAAATGCTTTTCACCTGCCTCAACATCGCTCACTGTTTGCACGACGATTAATGCACGAGATCAAGCAGACAGTGCAATTCTACACTTATTAACATTACATAACCATTGCGCTCACATCTCATGGCTTTTGCAGCATCTCATGCAGGACACAACATTCTAAAAATGCAGCAAGGTAAAATAAGTTCAACTTTAAAAATAAAAACCCTTTCAAGGCCTTGTGTTTTTTCCCCCAAAAAATGCATTGTGTAAACTGCTTTTTTTATTATTCTTATTTTCTAACTTAATAGTTCAAACAAAAATGAGAATTCCTACTCACCCTCAATTTGTTTCAGACCTCTATGAATTTCTTTTTTGAAGAATGTGAGTAACCAAAAAGTTTCTTGACTCCATTGACTTCAATAGCATTTTCCCCCATACTATTGAAGTCAGTGCGGACCAGCTATTGTTTGGTTACCCACATTCTTCCAAATATCTTCTTTTATGTTCAACAAAAGAAAGAAAGTCATAAGGTTCGGAACAACTTGAGGGTGAGTAAATTAATTTCTGATTGAACTATTCCTTTAAGAATAAAGCTAAGAATATGATGTGTTCCCAAAATAATTTCTTAAGATTTTTTTTAAAGATTGTTCTGAAGTTAAAACCCAAGAATTTGAATTCCTGAAAAGAGTGATCTTAAAAATAATCATAAATAATGTCTCAAAGTTTGGATAACTTGTATTAAATCCCTGAAGGTAAGATGTTTAATGAATTTATTGTGTTGTTTCAAATAAGAAGCATTTAAAATGTTTGTAATTTTAATGGTATAAGGTTGTAAATATGCTACGGCAAGCTTAGTGAAATCACTGTAATTATATAAAAATTAACTACAATTAGCAGGGCCATGCAGAGACCTTTGGAGGGGCAGGTGCTCAAAGTATAAAAGGGGCACATGGACCACGGCTTTAAATAGGGCTGTGCTCTGTTAGATTTTGCTGTATTTGGCTGAGCAATCGTTTGGGTTGCTCACCAATGTACTAGATTTCTCTAATACATAAAATAAGTAAGCTTGACCAAAGTTGTTGTGGGGAGAAGAATTTATTGAAGGTAGTAGTGTAGCAGTTCTTCAGCAGTGATGTTAGCATGTAGTCCTTCAAAGAATCTTAACCCAAGGTACTGTCTGTGAGACCAGGGGCCTATACCATGAAGCCGGATTAGCTGGCTAGCCAGGTAAGTTTCAGTTTAGTTTGCACCAATCCTGGGTTTTAAGTACTATGAAAGTGGCTTGTCTTTTAGCGGCATTCATTGCCATAGTAACTTACACTCCACAGCTAACCTGCTCCAGGGCAGGTTATGTTCTGGGTAAGAGATCTCAAACTGAAATTGGACCAATCAGATGTGAGCAAAGTGACACATGTCTGACACAAAAAAAGTCACTCCCCCAGTTTCTCTTCCTCCAAATTCAAGGTCACTATATAGTAAAAAAAAAAAATTTTACAACAAAATTGTCTGGCTTTAATGATAATTGCTTAGAATGATTTTATATGATTTATATAATTATTTTATGATTAATATTATTATTAATCCATAACACACAAGCAATTTTAGTTTAACAATTATTATAAAGGTTATATAGAGGCCATATGTAATATAAATAAGCTGTAGAATCAATAGATAATGCTTTAAAAATGACTACATGTGATCTTACATATTCGAGTCTCTATCGCTATTATCAACTATTTAAACTAACTTCACAAGTTTCACTTGCACTGATAGAGCAAGATAATTTATTTGTCCACTTTCATGGACAAGTACTTTCTTCAGTGTAAATGCATTTAAATTCCTCATATTCTTCAATCTCTTAACCTTTAGCGAAAGAGTTTTGAATCTCGCTGGGTCTCTCGCGAGAAGTGAATCACACATCTCTGTGTTGCAAGGCATGTAATTGGCTGTTCACCACTGATGTCACACATTCATGTGCACGCACTCCACAAACTCAGGATCAAAGCCAGAGTTGACAAAGAAAGCTGATGATCAGGCATCATGGTACCAACAATGCCGGATTGGAGTGGTTTGGTATTGTCAACTAGAAACTAATCCTGTAACTCTGAATTTGTTCAACTACCATCATGTTACAGGCCCCAGACCTTTATACCTGGTAACAAATGTGCTACAAACAATACAATAACACCCCATGGAGAGCAAATGATAGTGTAACCTCATGATGACCTGATAGGACCTCTCCCATGAAGAGCCCATGATACATTGACCTGATGTTGACCTAATGGGCTAATTATATGGGCCATTTGGGTCACACTTTTGTAAACAGAGTTTCAGTTGATTGCATCTGAGGCACAGTCACAATGTAAATGCATCTGAATTGAAGTACACATAATCTTTCAGCTCCTTGCTGATACGTGTATCAAAACGGATGCTTCTGTATTGATACAGCAGCAAATGCCGTGACGCAGTCAGAAACACAGAACAGAAAAGACCATTTTAAGTTTAAAAGTTAAAGAATTTTTTTCTTTGCAACTCTTAATTACTCTGGAATTAGAAACTGAATTATATGATTATTATTATTATGATAAGACCCCCTCAACATGCTTTAAACTTTTCCCAATCAAACAGCAAGAACGAAAGAGAACAGGCACCTTTGTTTATATTACTGTGTGTAGAACTACATTAGCCGAATTTTTTATATTTAATAAATATTTGATTTTAATAAAATGTAATTTCGTCCCCTGCACTTTATACGGGCTGGTGTGTTCAAGTAGAGGTTTCTAGATTTAAATCAGATTTAAATTCAAAGAGACAGTATTGATAGTCTATGCATGACCTGACGTTTTATTCGTATCCAAAATGAGGAGACGTGAACATCAGGAGCGCTGAACACTTATGCAGTGTATGTTTCATTCATACTCAAAGCCGGAGGGCGCTCTCGTGCAGAAAGTCCAAAATGGACTAGAAGTAATAATTATGATGTGCAGGAGATCCCTAATGTGGACAAAAGCATCCGGCTATAAGCTGAGCTGAATAAAAAGAAGAAACGTTTTTACTGATGAAACGTGAAGTACGCAGTACTGACATATCATTTAGTATAGAAACTATCAAATATATTTCCTGCCTTATTCTTTGATAAAAATGGGGGGAAAAAGTGTTCGTAGTAGGCTTTATAAATCAATCATAAAAAATAGCGTTACTTCCACAGGCTACACACAGCAATATAAACAAGAGCTGAGCAAGCTCTCTTCACGTCGTTCTAAAATAATAATAATTGAATAATAAGTCAGGTGAAAGGTCATCATGTGGATCATTTTATTTATGGCTAAATTATTATTCATTAATTTTACTAATAGTTAGATTGGGTAGGAAATTACAGTATTATGCTCCAAAAACATTCTTTAGTCATTGTACATAATGGTGATTAATGTGTGTCGTTATCATAGGTGATGATTCTACATCCAGCTTTCATTAAGTATGTCCATGAGACTTGGTTACTGAAACGTGCCAAATATCCATCCACTGGATTTCTCGCTATTATATTTGCCCTGCACGTCTGTGATCAGGTAAATCCTGCTCCCCTCCATTCTCGTTTTTATTTACACATTATTGTATAGACATTTTTGCCTTCTTTTTTGTCCAGGTTTCTACATTTGGGTTTGGTGCAGACCAATATGGAAACTGGTACCACTACTTTGAGAAAACCTCACATAACATTCGTACTGGTGCTCATAGTGGCAGCTTTGAATTCGACACCATGATGCAACTGTACTTGGAAAACAAAATTCAGGTGTACAGAGGGAGATGACTAGAAGTATTGACATTTGTCATGCAAGGCTTTTGTTCATTCAAAAAAATAAAATAAAGTTGTTCCATCATCTTAATCGAACAATGCATTTGCCTCCATTTTTTAACTGTTTAACTGCCTATGAAAACTTTTAAAGGGATAGTTTACCAAAACATGAAAATCTTTCATCATTTACTCACCCTCATCTTGTTTCAAACTTGTAAGAATTTCTTTCTTCTGTTGAACACAAAATTAAATATTTTGAAGAATGTTGGTAACCAAATAGTATGATTACGACAATGAGTAGGTCCTGACGCGTGTTGTCTGACCCCAGTAGAGTGCAGAATGTCTATAAATGCTGATCCCAATGCATCTTTTTCATTATCAACATGGATATTAAAATCACCAACAATTAAGACTTCATCTGCAGCCAGCACTAACTCCGATAGAAAATCAGCACTTTGATAAAGTCTGTATGGTGCCCTGGTGGCCTGTATGCAGTAGCCAGTACAAACTTCACAGGGGATTTATCATTAACACTTGTTTCTCTGGATAATGTTATATGAAGTACTATTACTTCAAACGAATTATAATTGAAACCAGACTCTCTGAGAAATACTGAAAATGTTACTATAAATTGTAGCAACTCCTCCCCCTTTACCTTTTGGATGTGGCTCATGTTTATAACAGTAATCTTGGGAGGTAGACTCATTTAAAATAATGTAATCATTTGGTTTTAGCCAGGTTTCTGTCAAACAGAGCATATCTAAGTTATGATCCTGATCTTATAATTTACAAAAAATAGAAAAAATACATAGAAAGGTGTCACGATCACCAGCTGTAGTGCCCATGAGCTCCACCAGAGGGCAGTCCACCAACCACTCTTGTCACACTCTCGCAGACTACATTTCCCATAATCCTTTGCCGGACTCATCATCACTGATTGCCTTCACCTGTGTCTCGCTACCTTATCAATCTCACACTATAAAGTTTGCACTCATCCACACACACATCGCTGAGTATTGCTAGCCTGTAGTGTTTTCGAGTTCCTGTGTTTTTCCGTGTTTACTTGCCTTGTCTTGTCTTTGGGGTTTTTGATCCCTGGACTGTTTCCTTGTTTTCTGATTGTTTGGTGCCTGCCCTGACCTTCGCCTGTTTATTGGATTACTCTCATCCTGGATTGTACATGATTGCTGTTGTTTGACCCTACTTGTTTTGACCACTCTTCTGAATAAAACCCGCATTTGGATTCAACTCCGTTGTCATGCCTCCCAACGTTCCAAAAGGGATCTAATATTCATTAAGCCAAGCTTTATCATTTGTTTATCTGTATTATATCTGTTTTTTATTTGTTGAACATCAATTAAATTGTTATCCTTAAATTGTTTTGGACGTTTTTTGTATTTGCTAGTTTGGGGGACAGACACAGTCTCTATAGTATTACATCTAGGTGAAAGAGTCTCTCTGTGCTGAGAATTACCTGACTTCTGTGACTTGAGGTGGTTAGCAGACGGTCAGTTTAGCCAGTCCGTCTGCTTCCTGACCTGGGCCCCAGTTAGTCAAGTACAAATACCTTAGTGACTCACTGAGTGCAATGGGTTATCATAAAAGTTGGTTACGGTTGATTCATAGAAATAAATTCTCAATTAGTGTAAAAAAAACAAATCCTTCACGTTCAGTCTTTGTTTAAAATGGAGCATAAAAATTAACCTTGACCTGACAAACAGGTAAAGATTTAGCATTATAAAAAATCTTCTTGATAAGCTTCCAAATGAACAATGGATCTGAACATTCATCTGCCAGTCTGGTGGGTATGGAAGCATATGGGTAGCAATATTCGTTTTGAAATGTAATAGGCTATGCAAAATGGCAATGCAATATATAAAATTGCAATGTATTTCTGTATTTAAATTTACATTTTACCATTCATATGTGCAACGTTTAGTGCAAAATGAAAATGAAAATTCCATTATATAATTTACATTTGCCATTTCCTACATTAGTTTAAATATGTAAATTAAATACATATTTTAACGCTTTATAAGTTGCAAAATTAAAATGAAGATGTTCCCCAAATTGATTAGATATGTTGAACATGTACAAGCAAAAACTGTAGCAAAATTATCTTTTAAATGCTGTTTTTTCTAAATGCATTTAGACTTACGGGTAGGACACTTGGGATTGCATTTTCATCATAATACCACGTGATAATTGTAGCAAAATGCAGTGTGAATTTCAAAATGCATTCTGAACAAAAGGTCTAGCAAAATGGTGATTTAAACGTCTTTTAGTTTACTTAAATGCATTGACACTTACACTTAAGACATTTAAATTACATTTTCATTAAATACCCCGTGATGAATGTAGTTTAAGTCAATGTGGATTTGAAAATGCATTCCGAGCTGCCAACCTGTCAATCATTATATCAAGGCGGGGCTCGGCAACAGGATGCACAATAGGTCAATATTCACCTGCCTCAAAATCGCTCACTCTTTGCACGACGAATAATGCACAAGATCAAGCAGACAGGGCAATTCTACACTTATTAACATTACATAACCATTGTGCTCACATCTCACGGCTTTTGCAGCATCTCATGCACGACACGACATTCTAAAAATGCTAAAGATAAAATAAGTTCAACTTTTTAAAAAAAACCTTTCGAGACCTTGTTTTTATCCCACCAATTCCACTGCCCATGTCTCACGTTTTTCAAAGCAGAAATGCATTGTGTTAACAGCCTTTAAGAATCAAATTTTGCTTTTTTCAAATTTGCTTTTTTAATTCTTATTCTCTTAATTCTTATTTTCTTTTCTTAACTTAATAGTTCAAACAAAATTGCGAATTCTGTCTTTTACTCACCCTCAAGTTGTTTCAAACCTCTATGAATTTCTCTTTTTGAAGAATGTGAGTAATCAAAAAGTTTCTTGTCTCCATTGACTTCCATAGCATTTTCCCCCATACTATTGAAGTCAGTGGGGACCAGCTATTCTTTGGTTACCCACATTCTTCCAAATATCTTCTATGTTCAACAAAAGAAAGAAAGTCATAAAGTTCGGAACAACTTGAGGGTGAGTAAATGATGACAGAATTGTAATTTCTGGTTGAACTATTCTTTTAAGAATAAAGTTAAGAATATGAAGTGTTCTGTAGAGGAAATTTTATTTTCATCTTAAATATTATTATTATTATTATTATTATTATTATCTGTATTATTTGCTTCACTGTAAAGAGTGTTCTTTAGACTGTCTCTGAGTGCTTCTTTATGCTTGAGTTTTCGATGAGCTGAGAGATAACAGGAAATCTATTTAATGTGTGTGTGTGTGTGTGTGTGTGCGCGCAAGACAAGTGTGAGATGAGAAATGCTATTTTATACCTAGATTCTTAGAAAATAATTTGCATTAAATGCTTAGAAACACATCTAGGGGACATAGTTGGATACCTTAAATGGACACATATGTTGAATATGCATTATGATTGGATGAGATAGAAGCATCCTAGTTTGATTAGGATATACTGAGTCAAAGTGTTATTCGGGGTCACACTCTGCAGTCAACTTGGATGACTGTATGACTGTTGAACTTTTCTTGCAAGAAAATAAATACAAAATCATTTCTTAAGATATTTTATTTATTTATTTATTTATTTATTTTTTAAAGATTGCTCTGAAGATAAAACCCAAGAATGTGTATTCCTGAAAAGAATGTTCTTAAAAATAATCGTAAATAATGTCTCAAAGTTTGGATAACTTGTATTAAATCCCTGAAGGTAAGATGTTTAATGAATTTATTGGGTTGTTTCAAATATTAAGCATTTAAAATGTTTGTAATTTTAAAAAGGTTGTAAAAATGCTAAGGCAAGCTAGTGAAATCACTGTAATTATATAACAATTAACTATAATTAGATATAAAAGTGACTGAAATTACAGTATTATGCTCTAAAACATCCTTTAGTCATTG